GCAAAGTAAAAAACAAGGGTGGGTAGGTTAGTATGCATGTGTGATGAGATTGGTGTGCTCAACACACTGTTTGCCAGTCTTTCATCCCATCACGTGTTGGACCTTACTCACACACAATTTGAATGTATATCCTATCCATTTTTGCCATATCTCAGTCAAATCTTCACAGAATTGCCTAAATTCTTAATCAGTCTATGAAAAATTAAACTATCTGTCTATATATGCTATGTACATGAGGTAATATTTAGTTTCTGTGGTAAATAAAGTTTTCAACAAAAGACTGGTTACAACCAGTCTGGACTGGTTTTTTTTGCATTGTAGACCATTTAGGACCAGTCTAAAAGGGTCTGGTTGTGGTCCCTTAATATCTGGATTGGTCTGAACCAGTTCCGGTTGCCAGTTGCCTCATTTTGAGGTAAAAACCAGACTAGACTGGACTTTGAAACACTATAGATGATGTCTGATGACAATTTTCAGCTGTGGCCAATATAAAGAGGGAGAGCTCTACTTGCCAGACCTCAAAGTCAAACTGGAGTAAGTGGCTGCTACATATATCTCTCTCAATTGCAGATAGGTATGACCCAGGGACCTGGTCATTTTCCTGTCTGGCTGAATCTATCATTGCATCAGACTCCTGAGGGGGTTGGAGACATATTTTTCTTCCCCACAGCCTCTTTTGACAAACTGAAAGGGAAACCCCCTCTCTGGAACAAGAGAATGTGGTGGAAGGTGAAAATGTTGAGAGCCTGGTTGGCAAAGGCTTGGGAGGAAATCTCATCTCTGCCTGTGGGAACAGAATTAGGGCACAATCTTTATTGTACAGAGTGAGGACTCAGCAGGGCTGTGGTTCATAAACTGCATGTAAGTGGCACTAACTCTGAAATGCTGCCAGTTGCACTAGCTTGCGAAAGGCATACACAGTGTGGCTGAGGCTGATGGTCGCCCATTTTGATGCCACCGAGATTGTTTTGCTAGCTATGGACAAAAACCAATCAAAGTTTCCCTGTGTCATCCTTTTCAGGATGGACTCAAAACCACCCAACCAGGCATTCAACTGTTCACAGGCCTGTTTTAATATTTATTAATTCTTGTATTGCACCATACATCAATCTAAACTTACCTGTGTGTTAAATGCTCGCTTGTAGTATGGTCGACCATGTTTGTCTTTTTCGACAACAACTAAATTTGGGGCTGAGCCATTCAATGGTGCAGGATTACACCATTTGCGACAAATATAATCACCAACACGGTGATTAATATAGTGGTAACTATCAACAATGAACTGTGTTGTATGTTTCCAGATTCTGTCCCAGCTTCCATTGCTTATCGCTGTTCGTAGTAGTAGACAAGCCTTATCAATACAGATGTAATCTGGACGTGATTCAGCAGTAGGATAAACTGACTCCAGAAAGTTAAGAATATTTGTGGGAGATTCAGACTTAGGAAATTTAGCCCAGGCAATAACAACACCACAAGGAGCAGTGATTGTCTCAACACAATAAAACCGTGAAGGACTGAAGTAATGAGATCTTTCAATATCAGGTGTAGGTTCATCATGGCGTTGAGTATCTGGCTCTCTACCAGATTGCCAAGGCATTCTCTCATTAGGCCTTCTTAAAATTTGTCTAACACCAGATAAGGTATTTGAACTTCGGTTATAGGCATTTTTTGACCACTGTTCCTGATGAGCTGGAATTGTGCATGCCAATGTTCCAACCTTCTTTGTATTTGTACAATGACACTTTGTTCCATATTCAGTTTCATGCACAGGACAAAAGACACCTCCTCGAGCATTGCCAAGTGCTGATGTGCAATCACCATATGCACAATGAGTTGGTCCTATTACAATTCCATCTACAACTACCATCTTAACAGGTGCATGATCAACATCCATAGGCTCATCATCTGAGTCCTCCTGCACACGAGATGCAAGCTCTCTTGCTCTTGCAGCATCTTGTGCAGCATCTGCTGCCCCTTCTCCAGTCAGAGAAGGTACAACTCTGTTCTCATCTCTACCAACTAAGGCAGCAGGATCATCACCAGTGAGAAAATCAGCTTTCTTTTTGTATTTTTGGGTACACTCAGAACAGGAGTGTTGACCCGCAGGAAGAATTATTCCATTTGCTCCCAGTTTACTGAATGCCTCACTAGTTACCTCATCAATGGACAGTCCATCTTTAAGAATCAAGGTCTGATCTGATACATCTGCTATTGTTCGTATAGACTCCTGAACAAATGCCTGCCAGACTTGACGACGTGAGATCTTTATTAGTTTGCCCTTACATAATTCTCCAAAAGTGTTATTCCAAAAGTCAGTGTAGGCATTTGCAGATGCATGAAAATTATACATTGCATTTAAAACAGCTGATGAAAAAATACAATCAACCCAAACATTCTGGCCCACTTTCAAGTATACAGCAGAGTTCAAGTATACTTGATCAAATGACCCAGTCTGTCCAACTACTCGTTCACGATCAGCAGAATATTGGGTCTGACATTTTGGGCAAAGACCAGTAAGGACATAGCTTTTCTTATAAATGTCAGTGCCTTTTATCAATGTAACTTCAGGAATATCTCGTGGTCGAACATTCTGGAGTAGTGACCGTGGATTGCATGTCATTGTTTCACATTCAACTGCATCAGGGCATATCATAATAACAGGCTTGAGCTCATCATGGGATATAGGTTTCATTTTCCCTTTGAACTTTCCATCCTTGTCAATGGGATGTAACTGCAACATTTTTGCAAAAAGGTCAAGCTTATTTCCCAATGCTACAAACACCTGATCTTCATTCATTCCCCCTTTGTTTTCAGACTTTTTGAACAATCTGTCTTTCTTATTGCCCAATTGATCAGTTAAAGCCCTAATTAACCCTGTGATCCAGCCAGTGGTATGAGTCTTTCGCTCTCCTGGATACTTTGAAATTTGTTGTCTTGCATGTAAGCTCAGAAGTGTTGTGTTGTTAGTCATGGTAAACAGTACTAACAGCACAGTTGATAGTGAAATTTTGGAGCTAAAGTTGGATGCAATGAATTCACTGAAGACTGAAAATGGGATATCAGGGAATGGAGACTGAGTTTGTTGGGCATTAACTGTTGGAAGCATGCTGAACATGGCCAGAATTCCAAAAATTGGGGCTATATAACCCAGTACACCACAAGTTGTCCCTTGTCCAAAGTTGGTGGGCTGGTAGGGTCTTGTGGTAGTGCCACATGCCAGTAAATGAGCGAGGTCCCGATTATTTTTAGATTGGCACGATGTTTGACAGGGCTGCATTGCCCTTCAACCGTGAGGCTCACCAGCTTCCCAGGGATTCCTTGTACCCTGCAGTCATTGTCAGGAACTTGAATGTTTTGAAACTCCCGCTTGCAGACCAAACAGCATCGCATAATACAGTACCTAACAAATGTTGGGATCTAGAGAAAGGGTGATCAACATCACCATCAATACTTTGCCTGATGTAGTAGCCACCGACTTACAGCTTTCTGTAGTTGTTGGAAGTACCATCCACACCTGCCAGCTGTCTTGGCTCCTACTGCCCATGGGTCGGTGGCTGCCTTTTCATACTCTGTCGCCCCTGGCCAGTTTTTCTGTGTGATTGCGAACGAGTTTATAAAATCTTTGTTTGTGAGCTGATTCAATTGGAGGTTAATCCATGCTTTGACAGCAATGCCATGGATATCTCCCATAGATGGCGATGTTCCTTTCCATAGAAAGTCGGACAGAACATGGGAGACGCTTTCGAACAATGCCAAATCAAAGACATGGGTTGCATGCTCTGTGAAGAGTTTGCCGTTTTCCAGTTCTGTTTTGGTTGATTGAGCCATTGGAGCTAGTGTTTAAAGGTTCAGTTCAGTCCGGTTTTTTGCCCCGAAAACGCGCAACCATGGACTGCAACCGGTCCAGGACCGACCCAGATATTGAGGGAACCGAACCGAACCACCTAGGACCGGTCTTTTGCGGTCCATGATACCGGTTCAGACCGATCCAGACCGGTTTTTTTGCGTATAATTTATTATACCAATATAAACCATTTGTATCTCAACCATTATTACTCTGAAAAATAAACGGGTTATATAAAATAGTAAAGCATATAAATACCCGTCATTCTACCAATTTTCAAGAGATTTAATGAAAATTTGACATAGCTATGACTGAAACTGAATTACATCTCATAGAGACTCGGGTAAAATATGGATTTGGTTATATCTTTTAAAGCATATAAATACCCGTCATTCTACCTATTTTCAAGAGATTTAATGAAAATCTGACATAGCTATGACTGAAACCGAATTACATCTCATAGAGACTCGGGTAAAATATGGATTTGGTTATATCTTTCTCAATTCTTAACCGTTTTTGATGAAACAAAAACCCAATAAAAGGCAATAAACGTGGTTACAAGGCTATGTAATGCATGTGACCGTTTAACCGGTTGCAACCGATTAAAACCGGTCTTTGAACGGTTTTGAAAGATTTTCGAAATGAGGCAACCGGCAACCGGACCAACCCCAAATTGGGGCAACTGCAACCGAAAAAAAGACCGGACCATGGTCCGGTTCAGTTCGGTCCACCCGTTTCTTGCGGTCCTATGGACTGAACCTTTAAACACTAATTGGAGCAAGGGACTTGACATGCAACAGAAGGTCAGCTGGCCTTCCCAGTCATCAGTAGCTCGACCCTACCATCCAGCTCTTGGGTGCAGCTTCAGTCTCTTGAGGATATGTCGTAAGTAAAAGAACAACAATGATGAAAGAAATAAGAAAGGAAAGTATGTGTGCACACAACAAAGTCCAGAGCCAAACCTTCAGATTCCACCAAAAGAGCCAAATGAAGAAGTTGCCGATGATGATGTCATACAAGGGCAGCATTTACAGTTAGTTGCCGGTTATTGGATGAAGGGTTAGAGGTTGAACACTCTGACTCAAATGCTGGTTGAAGCTGGTGACCTCCCACCATGCCTCTGAGGCTCTGCCATAGTGCAGGAGCAGATTGCTGGACATTGCTGGGCGGTGACCAACTTCTGCAGCATACTTGATACATGCAGTGGGAGCTGAGTGACTGGCCTGTTCCACAATGATATCCTGCTCCTCATCATCTACCTCTAGTGTTTAAAGGTTCAGTCCATAGGACTGCCAAAAACCAGTGGACTTAACTGAACTAGACCATG